TGAAGGATGTAAGAATATGGTACAAGGTAATCATAAGCTGCAATTATGATAATAAGATAAGATCCTTTATTAAGAGCATGCAAATAATTTTAATAGTATCATATCATATATAGAGGATGTTGCTGCCCATTTTAACCAAAATAGAATACACACACATACACACACAAGGAAATACACATAAAGCAAGCCTAAAAAAGACTACTCAAGTTTGTTGGAGAAAGTCCTGAATGCCAAGTGAGAGTTAATAGACCAAAATATCCAAATTAGTAACCCATTAATGAAAATTCTTTATTTAGGTGTTTATGGACTCAATTAGAATTTTGGAAGGTTTAATCACAAGAGAAATCTACTTTGGGAGTCAATTGAAAAAAATAAAGTTTAGAGACTAAAATTGGGTTTTGGAAAGTTTAATTAGTCAAATTAGGGGTTTAATTGCATAAAATTTAAAGTTTGGTGAGCAAATAAGGACCTAATTAAACAATTTTTGAACCAAGGACCAACTAGCAAAACACGTGTGACTTTAGGAACTGGAATTAGGTGAAATCAAGGTTGAAATTGAAGAAAATTAAAAGTTTAATAGTCATATAGGGGTCTAATTGAACAAATCAGAGAATAAGGATCAACTTGTAAAAAATGCTCAAAATTAGGGTTAACAATTAAACCTGGCATGGACATAATAGCATGAAATTAGAAAGTTGAGGGCAAACTATGGGTAAAATTAAACAAAATTAGAAGAATAGAGATCAAATTACAAATTGCCAGATCCAAAATTTAAAAACTCTAATATAAAGGAATTAGCTAAAACAACGTTGTTCAAGGTATTGTGCATCTTCTTCTTTAGTTTTTGGTTGATTAATGAATGTAACGTTGCCGACCACTCTAAAGGCTACAACCACTATTATTTAACTAAGAAATACCCCCTCTACAACCCCATGTCTTGAAAATCAAATGTTTACATCTCATATTCTGTATTAATCTCCACAACATCTTATCCTTAGTAAGCCAACATTATAGTTTTAGTCATCATGTTGTTTGAGTGGGCACTTTCAAATGTTTAAATGTGGAGCTACAGTACTCCAAATCAAACAAAGAATGGATTTGATTGGAAGGTGTGAACCCTCTTTACCAAGTTTAGGTGGTTTCAGAAAATGTTGATATTAGAGTTGCTCCCGCGAAGCCACAAAAATAACTAACCTAGTTAGCCTTAAGAAGGACATCCATTTGGAGAAAACCACTTAACATTTATGTGTGCTCCCACTTAGCAACACTTAGAAGGTTCCTAACAAGGGTTTAAAACCGCTCTCTTTAGATCTAAAGGTATAAAACACTTCACCTTGTTCTCTAAGTTTCCTACAAAACCATATAAACCCAAAACCAGTGGTTCTATAGGAAAACTAGGTAGGTTTTAGTCTATTAGAACCCTAACAAACCCATTTAGAAGACCTAAATTCACATATAAAAGGGAACCAAGAGCAGAAAACAAGTAATGAAAAAAGGGAGCAATAGAGGGAAGAAAAGAGAAACTTTGGCTAAGGGGCAAGTCATTCGATCCAGAAGAACTTGGAAGTTACAACTTTGTTTGAGGAGGTTTGAAGATAAAGAAGAAGCAAGGCAATATCAAAACATCAATTTAGATTTGGAAATTTTTAAGTTAAAAGGTATATACTTTCAAACTTTGAAGGTGGATTCCATTAGGCATACTAGATTGATCTCTTGTGTTCAATGCAAAGTTTTGAATGTTTTGACATTTTTTTGATTGGTTTTATATATTGTATTATATGTTTTTTTCGGTTTAATGAATGCCAAACATGGCAGCAAAGAGAATGTTTAATTTTTTATGATGGATAGTTCTTGTGTTTCTGGGTTGCTTGTTAGTTCTTTAGGGATGATAAAGGTGGATTTTAAAGCTTAGATTGTTCAAGCATGCCTTTTGTTTTGATTTGGCAATTTTTGGATTTAAAAATTAATGTATTTTTTAGTTTTGTTTATGTTCTTGTTGTTTGTATGGTCACAAATATACGCATCATTGATAATGTGGTCTATAGGAATAAGGGAAGCATATTTTAGAAGCTCAAAATGGCCATTCTATGTTTGCTTTGGTTTTTTGGGTTTTTTCTGGTTTATTGGGTTTTTCTTCTACAAATTTATTTGATGAATATTGCCTTAAGTACTAGTTTTAGATCTAATTCTGATTAAATTCTAGTTTATACAAGTTCTTCTAGCACTATTACTAAGTAATCTGGGAGTTTAACTCACTAATAACAAGTTTTAGTGGATTTTAATCCTAGAATTTCGATTTTGAACTAAAATTCATTTTGACAAAATCGTATTGATATGTTAACCATTGAAGCAAATGAACTTGTGATTGTTATTATATGTATCTTGTGAACAAAATCATGCCCCCCCTTTATTTGAAATCTAGTTTAGATTGAGAGTTGTATTTTACAAAATGGGGATGAGTGTTTTTTATTTTTTATTTTTATCTTTTATGCATTTGATCCATTTTGATTGAAAGATTTTCAAGTTTTTCTGATTTTGTTAAGTTCGATGTATTTGAGTTTGGTTTTTTCATTGGTTTGTTTCCGAGTTATCTTGGTTAGGGAAGCTGATTTTGTTAAGTTCGATGTATTTGAGTTTGGTTTTTTCATTGGTTTGTTTCCGAGTTATCTTGGTTAGGGAAGCTGATTTTGTTAAGTTCGATGTATTTGAGTTTGGTTTTTTCATTGGTTTGTTTCCGAGTTATCTTGGTTAGGTAAGCTGATTTTGTTAAGTTCGATGTATTTGAGTTTGGTTTTTTCATTGGTTTGTTTCCGAGTTATCTTGGTTAGGTAAGCGGATTTTGTTAAGTTCGATGTATTTGAGTTTGGTTTTTTCATTGGTTTGTTTCCGAGTTATCTTGGTTAGGTAAGCGGATTTTGTTAAGTTCGATGTATTTGAGTTTGGTTTTTTCATTGGTTTGTTTCCGAGTTATCTTGGTTAGGTAAGCCTAGTTGGGTCAACTACTTCTAGGTCATCCCTGGCGGGTCAATCCACCCAATTCTATCTAGCCGAATAAAAACAAATTTGTCTTTAGGCTTTGTTTGGATTTTGTTTTGGGTTTGAGGATGTGTTTAGCAATACCTCTTTAAATTTGTTGAGTATTTTTTATTATTATTAGAAAGTCTATAAAACATATAAAAAAAATACTTTTATGTGTTACATATGGTCAATTCTATCAAAAATATAAAAAATCATATCATGAAGTATTTGAATACAAAAAATTCATATTTGCATGTATTTTGGAATTTAATAACCTATTTACTGAATTCACAAGAATTTGGTCAAAATTTCAATAACCGATAAAATTCTAATTCATGAGAATTAATGATTAATATTATAGTATAAATGTTGGACCTTCCAATGAGGTTGGTATTTAAATATCAGGAGTTGACCAGAAAATTCTTAAAGTTATTCTAAGTATTCATCAATTTTAATTGGAAGAATTTTTCACTGTAATATACAAATTATAAAAAACCTTTTTCATAAGAATTTATTTAGGTACATAAGCTCATAATAAATTATTAACACCAAATTTATTCACATGAATGAATCTCAATCCTAAGACATAGATAACCACCGATTAGAAAACTATCAAAACCTTGAAACCACATTAAACCATACAAAACAACTTACTTTAGATGCAGTGTGCTAAAGGTACTAATATCTTTTCTAGTCAAAATTAGTTACTTACCCTTGAATCTTTGATAAAATCAATATATATAAGTTTCTTAGCAATACTAAACCAAAACTTAAGTGGCGACTCTCACAAACCTCCACGCCATATGTCTACGTGTAATAGAGGATGTAGACATGTTTGACTTTAAAGAAGACAATTATACATCTTTCAATGTGTTTATAAATGGCAATGAAATAAAAACAAAACCACTCACCATGGTGTATTAAGGGGGATAAATTTTCTTTTCTTAGCTAAATTATGCTAATTTTATTCTATGATTATTTCTAAAATCACTTCCTAGATAAATTTCAATTATTAAGCTTATAGAAAATATATATTGATCGATCAATGCATGAGATTTTATTTTTAGAAGGACATTCTCTTATATCAGGGTTCCTTTGTTAGCTATTTCATATTTTTCTTGTTGCGGTAGAAATCAAGTATTATATTGTTTTATTTTTTGGTTAAGTCATTACTATAAGAAGAAATTAAATCACATTGATGGTGCTGAGATCCATTTGGATTGGTTAAATGCCATAAATATATATTTTTAGGCAATCAATTAGAAGTTGAAAACACGAGCATAACGTATTAGTTACAATAATGTTGTGTTGCATGATTGAAATTGACATTAATTTTTCAAGATTTGGAATCAATTTGAGATTTAATTTTCTTCAAGTACATGAATAAACTTTGTTTTTGAAAATAAAAAAAAAAATCTATTTTCAATCTTGCATGATTTTTTCCCCTTTTTAAACTTTGTTTTTGAAAATAAAAAAAAACTATTTTCAATCTTGCATGATTTTTTTCCCTTCTATCTTCTATTTTATTTAATCAATTAAATTTATCTTTATTTTTATATGTTTAGCATAAATAAAGAATTTATTTTTATAAATAAATTTAATAAACACAAGCATAAATATTTCATTTTTTAAAATTAAATATTTTAATCTCCACATCTTTTATTTATTTAAATTTTATTTTTAGATATCTTTTATGATTATTCATTTATTTATAAATAAATTCTCAATTTATTTAATTTATTTATATGAATTTAGATTTTCTAAACAACAAAAATACATTGAAAATATCCACATAATATATATATAAATCTAACCTGCAGCAAATTACATGATATGTAAAGTCGAGGAAAAGTGAAATCTTAAATCACTTATGTTGGGAGAAGAACGGCAGAAATATACAAACTAGAGAATAATGAGGGATATAATTATTTTCCATTCCTAGCAACATCTAACCAATCAAAATAGCTTAAAGAAATATTTTTAACGAGGAAAAAGGAAACGAAAATATTTTAATGTTTTGAACACATTACATGAAAAGAAACAGGATTTCTATAATGTCCAACCTTTTCTTCATAGCTTCTTTTCTCTAGCCCTCGTGTTATTAGAAAATCTATATCAACTAGAACAAACTACAATCTGAGGGGCAAAAAGTATGTTTTGAGTGCTGGCAAGGATACCGGGAAATATCACCATCTCAGTTTCTCATCATGAGCATCTGAATACATAAACAATCTCCATCCAGTCACTTGCAACCCAAATAGGCAAATGCAGAAGTTTCTGTGACATTTGAATCAAAGAATCATTCAGACATCTCATCTTCTGCCTCACTAGACTGTTCAAGGTCCTCATCTTGAGCGACCCTCTGTAATCTTCCAAGGCCATCTTCATCCTCAAACCTTCCTCCCATCCTTGAATCATTACCCCTTGAACTTGAAGCAGCCTGAAAGCATAATTTAAGTCAAGTCATAGAGGCCTAATATCCAACGACAGACTAAAAATGAATATTCATATGGATGGTTCTGTGTCCTTACCCCCAAATCCCTCTGTTCGATTGTAGCAGCAACAGCTCTTTTCCTCACAGTTACTCTTGATGGTACAGAAAAATGTTCAATCTCGTCACCTGATCTTCCCTCTCTGGCTCTCCTCTTTGTTAAATTAATCTTTGTGGGAAGAGGCTGTTGATAAAAAATGAAATGTAAAAGTCCAGAGTAACCAACACAAAATGTGTACACTGAGAAAAAATGTGGGAGAGAATATTGATACCAAGTAGCGAGCTTCAGCCTCATCAAATGAAACAAGGAATGTTGTAGGGTCATTGGCATCATCCCCCCGTATCTGATTGAGGTGTTATGAAGAAAATTTTGTTCAGCGGTCATACAGAAGCTTGCTAAGTAAATGTAAACAACTAGAGGCACTTACATCCCAATGATACTCGCGAATCCAAGAATATGAGATATCCTCACTCTCATCATGCATATCCTTCGATATCTGTTACCATAACATAATAGAAAAATAATTACAGCAGCGTAGTATGAAAAAAATCTTTCATTGGAATATTAGCAATAAGGAGAAATATAAAACTGAAGTGCTAATATGCATGTATAATATTTGAGACTCTGGATAAAGTACAATCTTACCTCATCAGGAGAAGGTACCATGTATGCCAAAAATTTTTCTGGGTTAGTTGGATCCGAACCAGTTGCCACACAAGCTTTCATAATAGCCTGTAATTAAACATTAAGAACCACTCAACTAAATGCATCATTAAGTGTTCACTTTTTAGGACAGGTCATGCCAGATTCTATGGGTTAATGATAGGTTAGAATAAAATTTCTGATTTGTTTCAAGACATCTACTTTACATTAACCCAAAAAATTTATTGTCTTGTGTTCACCACATTCTACCATGCACTTTTGATTAGTACTTCAACTTCCTATTTCTCAATTGAAAACTTTTTCTGGTGCTTATTTCTCAATTGTTGATCCTAGTTATTAAATTATAAATAAAAAAAAATGTTGCACCTATATTATTTTGCTGCTTCTGGCTATACATTCACTTAACTAAAGTATCTGAATAGGCATCATAAAAACATTCTAATTTACGTACACACTTAACTAAAGTATCTGAATGGGCATAAAAAAACATTCTAAATTAACTCTCATTTGCCTGCTCCAATGCAACACATCCACTTAAATATACCCGTGATTCATAGGCTTCACGTTCGGATGAATTGAACTTGTTGTAATTTTCTGCATCAACTGTAGGAGCACCATCAAAGGTTGCTGTGACAAATTTATCTTCATACCTGGTACAATGTCATAAAGCTGTAAAGTTAAAGATTTAAAAGTGATGTTGAGCCAAGAACAAGATCACCAAATCAAGAGAGATACACTTGATCTTGAGGTAAAAAAGCAAGCGATAGACACTCAATCTTGGAGAAAACTCACAGCTATTAATTTCAATAAATATGTTAAAGCTGAACATCTGCCAAGGGTTTTAGTAGTCCAAAACAATCTACGGTGTGGGTCGCATCAAAAAGTGACAAATGCAATATGATCATCCACTATTTTACAAGTTCCAAAGTCTGGTCAGCCATCAGCAAATTCTAATTCTTCATTTCACAGACGATACCTCCTCCATCCCAGAAAAAGTGTCATTGTTACTATATTGATAGTTCAAAATGTATATATAGTAAAAATAAAAATTCCTTAATGTTACTAAACCCTTTATTAATAAATAATTTTCGAACATAATTGTTAATTAAATAGTTAACAGTTATGGAATGGAGAGTGTAACACAATATTTGAAGCAAAAGAAAGCAATCTATGGAAAAATATCATTTCTGTGCATATATGTCTTCAACAAATGTTTCTTGAAAAAAAGAAGCATTGTGTGCCTTTTTTTTTCCTACCCAAGAATGAGAAGAAAGGAATCTAACATCTGAACTAGCTAGCATTGAAGACCTTTACTTCACTGCTACATGATAAATTAGATAGGAAGAGACAGACAGCAGGGAGCGATTCTATTTTCATTCTATGCAGCACAATATAAAAGGCAATAAATAACACCATACCGATCAAAATCAGGTAGCAGAGGCAGAACCTCAATTGGATGTAAGTTTTTATTAGTTGCGTGCACAGGAGGTAACTTGTTTGCCTCAAACGATGCTTGAATTTCCTTGATCTGTCTCTCCCTGAAAACATTTCTAATTCTTTAAGAATGTAAAATAAAGGGTCATATAATTTCTACTTGTCTTCCAACAGTTTCTTCACATAGGCAAAGTGGAAAAATATAAACCTGTTATTGAGATTGTCCAAAAGATTCCGACCTCCCTTCATTTCTCTCAGTTCTTTAGCTTGGTTTTTGTTCAGAGACTGCAAATTCAAATTTATTTGATTACTAAACAGCTTTCAGCAGTTTGTGAAGTGAATAACATGCAATGAAGTGCATGAAAAGAATCCCACTTTGGTTGACTCCATGCTCAGAGGAGATATATACTGTGTCTTAACCAGCCATGAAACACCTTTATCTGTTGGCCGTTCTTTTCTTCTTATGCCATCTCTTTTTACAGGGGCGACTGTCTCATCGTCACGCAACAATTCCTCATCTTCAGGAGCAAGAGGTGGTCTAACACTAGGAGGACTAACAAAACCAGTAGAGAAAAGGGTGATCAGGACTGTCATGTTGTACAGATTACTAAGACCCCAAAAAATTAGGCTGTTGAGAGACTATACTTGTATACACTGAGATCAAGCAGGTCCAGAGGTATTCCAAGATCTGGCTCAACATATAGTTGAGGTTTATACATTTTCTCCAACGATGTGATTGTGTATTTTGTAAATCTGCAAATAAGAATACTGATATAAACTACGATGGTTCCATGGTAGAAGTATAGCATGATATCCAAGCATATCAACAGAAATTAGGCAACTAGAAATTCTGGAGAATTTTTTACCCTTGGCCTGAAATTGTTCTGTATAAAAAATCTACACAGAGAGCTTCATGAAAATCAATCATATGCCAGTGTAAGATAGAATAGGAGATAAACTCAATCCTAATAAAATCTATCTGCTAAACACCATGAGATCACTGGAGTTTCCACTTAAAAATATGACAGTAACGTGCATGGCCATGCTCATCAATCACCAGTTTGTCCATCATGCAATTCTAAACTCTATTAGCAACTCGTTGCTTTCTTCACAACATCATAAAGCCATATAAAATGCTATAAGAGACCAGCATTGTTTCAAGTCTTCCATGTGTTAATTATATGTATATTGCCTGCCTTACTAAAGCTTTATACAACTTATAAATCTTATTATTTATGCTATCCATCTCACTAATTTACCAGTCATTTTCCAACATAATTGTATCCCATTGCACTCTTTAAGCTTCTTTATGTTCGTACCACCAGCTTGCAGGATAAACAGGATTACAACATTTTAGAATCATGCAAGCACTGAAGAAATGCAACAGTTATTATATCCTAGCTCAAATACCAATAAACTAAATTCAACGCTTCCTACTGACACAGTGACATCTCTTTAAGCAAGATTCTTCCTTTCAAATAACTTTGTCGAATACCAATAAACTAAATGCAACACTTCCTACTGACACAGTGACACCTCTTTAACCAAGATTCTTCCTTTCAAATAACTGTGACAATATATTTTGAAAAATATAATAAAGCTAATTAGGTAAACTCCCAAAATGAGATAGTAACCTAGGAATATTTGTTGCATGTGTGTTGGGGGAGGGCAGATTATGAGAACAGCAGATTGATCACAACCTAAGTTTGGTACAAGCTTCTTCCTATGTAAATAAACTTATACAAGAGTATTATCAACACTCTCCTTGAGGCCAAACAGATATTTATCATGTCCATTTTTTGGGAAAGATTGTAGGCACGGCTCAAATTAAATTTTTAAGTTGTATTAATTAAATGCAGATATATAAAACTCATATGCTACATGCACATACCGATCTTTATCTCTCTTTAAAGGCATCAGCTTTGGTTGGGCACTCGGATCAGGAAGTTCATTCCGGAATCTTCAAAAAGCAAGCAAGTCAAAAAAGCATCAGTACTGGAAGTAGGCAACTAAAAATTTATGTAAAAAAGAAGAAGAAGAAGAAGCAAAAACTAAAATGTACAACAAATGTTACTTGCCTGTCAACTGGATGAAATATCTAGAGTATTAAACTATACTCATACTAAAAATCATCACAAAGGATCCATAAAATCAAAAGTGTATAACAAACCCAAGTGCTGGCATTAGATAACATAGGTTTCCTAATAAGATAAATGGGTTTGAAGGCGTAGTAGAATAAGAAAAATAGGCAAAGGAGAAACTTCAAAATTCATATACAGAACCCACCTAATCCACACAACTAAGTTACCAACAGATTCAAAGCAAAGCATTCAGTAAGTCTTATCTACATTCCCATAGAAAATAGAAGTGGTTTTCAGATGAGACACACAGGTAATTTTCCTTATTGAATAACCTAAGAATTCAATGTCCTTGCCTATGTACTGGAACGTCCATACAATACATGAAGATCTTAGACATGCAACATGCACAAGAAATTACCACATGCATAACAGAGAACCTATCATTAGTTAATAAAAAAGAAAGTTGAAGTGTATACCGCAGAACAAAAACAGTTGATTGTTAAGGTTTCATATCAACATTGCTGCTAAGTTCCAAAGAGTAGAAACATTAAGAAAGACAACAACAGCAAGTTAATATCATAGAAGTAGAGCTTGATGTTGATAAATTGCTGTAATATATCATGCATTACTGCAAGTCCTGGTAACACCTAATTTTAAGAAAATAACAAGCAATTTCCAAAAATCCATTCATTCAAACCCCAGGCCCCTAACAGACCACATCAAACTAACATAGTTAATCTACCAGAGTTAATAATAGTATTAAAAGTGGTCAATGGAGTGCTAAAGGACCAGCTAGTTAATGTTCAATTTCCAGAAGAAGCCTAAGTGTTTCAGTCAAATTCTGTTAAAAGAACAATAGCAGGCTACAGACTTCACTGATGAAAGCAGGCTGAGACAAATTGGATTGACTACAACTTCTGTTGTTATTCTGGTTATAGGACAAGAAACATCATTCATGATTAAGAGCTCCAGATATGAAATTGAGATTCAGTACAACAAACTCACTTCAACTTGCACAAGAAGGTCGTTGGCTTCTTCAACCTATTTTCAGTCCTCTCCCCACCCAACAATGGAGTGGCCCTCCTATCCCCCAATCGTGAACCAACAATGGAACCATGCCCTTTCTGAGAGGACATCATCTGGTTCTTCGGCAGAGCTGGGTTCTGTGACTCTTTCAACAGCTGTCTATGCTTCTCCTCCTGCCTTTGCTTGTCAAACTCTCTCTTCTTCCTCAACCTCCTCTCCTGATCTGTCTCCGCCCTCCCAGAGTGCCCATTCGCCTTCTTTCCCACAGGTGGAAGCTGTGGCTTGTGTTGTTGATGATGATGTTTCCCATTATTGGAATTATCATATTCCCTACTCTCCCGATATACCCCTTTATCTCTTTCAACAGCAGGAGGAGCTGGGGGTGGGGAGCTGGGAGGTGGTGGGGGTGGAGCTGAAGAACTAGGTGGAGGAGATGAAGGGGGAGGGGGTGGAGGTGGAGGTGGATGCTGCATTGGTTGATGACCGTAATGTGAAGGCGGGTAGTACAAATTAGGTGGTGGTGGCCGTTGTTGTTGTGGTGCTGGTGGAAGAGGAGGTGGGTATGAGGATTCAGGAGGAGGAGGTGGCTGATAAGGGTATTGTTGGTGAGGCAATGGAGGAGGTGGAGCAGGGCGGGGCGGCTGAGGGTAATGTTGCGAGAAATTCTGATAGTTTTGTGGTGGTGGTGGTGGGGCCAATTGAGGATTGTAATTTTGAGGATACTGATTTGGTCTTTGCAGTTGTTGTGGTGGTGGCGGTGGTTGTGGTTGTGGTGGTTGCTGCGGTGGTGGTGGAGGTGGTGCAGGGAATGGCCTATAGGAGGCCATTGTTGCTATTTCTTATTTTTCTAAATTCAATTATTGAGAATCAAATCCAAGTTCTACAACTAAGTCACTATGAAGCTGAGTTAAAAATCTGAAATTCTCTTCAGGCAAGAATAACCCTAGATACCATCGACAGTGAAACAAAAACTGGAAAGAATTGAACTCACCGGCAAATCTTAAAACCCTAATTGAAATGAATCTCAACTCAACTGTTATTGGCAGAGCCCTAGTAGATCCTTGAGAGAGTAAGAGAGAGTTTTCTTAATGCCTTGTTTGGACCCTCCTTTCCCAGGTCGCACACAGTAAGAGACACTCTGCCTTTCTTTTTTGCTACTTATCGCCAAATTTCGGCCTTAACATCATTATGGACCGGATTTCGGCAACTCTAGTATTTGTATTCCCTGTTCATCTCCTTCGCAGGAGTATCTAGTTGACTCTCAACACTGAAGCTTAACATTTTTCTTACCCGTGGAAGCAGATATACTTTAACCTAAGAAGTGTCATATACTTTCAATGTATTACTTCTTTCTTCGCATATCTATCATGCTTGTATTCTATTATTGATTTATTAAGAAATATTATAAAAAACATTTATAGAAAAAGATTGTTGTACTCTACAATATTTTTAAGAAAAAAATTTAAAAATAATTAAAAATATATATATAAAAACTATATAAAAAAATATTGTAGTAATCTATAATATTTTGTAAAAAAATATATAATTGTAATACTCAATTAGCATAATATTAAAAAAATAAAATTAATAAAGATAATTTTAAAAAATTCATAATAAAAAAAATATGTGGAAAATGACTATAACAATCCACTATATTTTTTTTTTAAAAGTAAAAAATTAAATTTCCAACCAACTTAATATTAAACAAATAAAAGCAATAAAGATAATTTTGAAAAAAATTAACCCCATAAGTTTTAAATTTGTTATAACATCAATCCTCACCATGTAAGCTAATTGACACGACTAAAATATTGATGTCTTCTCCCAAGTGCAGGAGTGTCGAAGTAATAAATAACTCGGCAAGACCGGGGTCGAACCACAGGTAATTTTGGAAAAAAAATGAAAAGAGAAAAAGAAGAAGAAGAAAAGGCATGCGGAAAATGTAAAAAAAAATGAAAATACAAAAAACAAATATGTGGAAAGGGAAAAAAAAAACATGTGGAGATAACCATAGTATTTTCTAGAGTATTGTTAATATATATATATAGTTAGATTGAGTATTAATTTTACATCCCAAGTGTCTTCTGATTTTGAGATTCATCTCTTCCACTAAGGTACGCATTGGGTATAGATAAATTATACTTAAATGCTAATAACATGGTTTGGTAAGTGTCAATATCCAAAGCTTCAACTATTATTAATTTCAATTTGTAGGCTTAAGGTTTATAGGTTCTTTCAATTTCATCTAAAATCTTTTGTTTTTCTTTAAAAATTTCATAAATTCAGAATTTTTTTACCTAATCACAATCTTAAGTACAATTGTTTCTACTTTAGGATAAATTTCATTTTGCTTTTTTAAAATATTTATATGTTAAAAAAAAATCATCTTGTTTTAATTAACCCCATAAGTTTTAAATTTGTTACAACATCAATCCTCACCATGTAAGCTAATGAAAGGCTAGTTAATTTAGAAAGACTTAGAAAGATAAAGAGAAAGGGACACATATTCATTTGTTATTTTTATATATTTCTAATTAATGTTCTTAAATTCATATTAACTGGTTTAATCATAAACTTGATGATTTGGCTATTTAATTGATTTAGATTGACACTAAAAATTAAAATTTGCAAAGAATTCTGATCTAATTCCATCACTTATGCTAGTGGGTCATATAGTGTTCATTTAAAAAAAAAAATTAGAGTTTGAACTTGATATCTTTACCTTCTAGAATTATAGACTTACCACTTAATCATGTCTTATTTATGCTTTATATGTACAAAGAAATATATTTATATTATAGTTTAAATCACTTCACAATCTAATCAATAATCAACTAACTAAACTAGTGATCTAAGCTAGATCTAATAACAATACACTTAATATACCACACAAGAAACCATAAGATCATGTAAAGCCAAACAACTCTAATACCCTAATAAAAACAACAAAATTCAACAATAAAAAAGGAAGCATCCGTAAATAAAAAAAAAAACTTGAGTTATTTATAAAAAAACCTTAACTTTATGAACAATAAATTAGAACTCTTAATTAATCAATATATATTTAAAAAATTCAATACATGTGGTATTGAAATGCAATATTATTCTATTGGAGGAGATAAGAATTTATTAAAAAGATTAAAACTAGCATCATTAGATGTTATAACTTACCCTTCAACTTTCTCTCTTTTTTTTTCTAATTAAATATCACATATAAAACTATACTGTTTCAATTATATCATGATCATAATTCGATCATTTTTTTTAATCTCAGATTTAGAATATATTGTGGCTTATAAGTTTCACAGCATCTCTTATTCCTTTTCATTATAAAATCTAGCTTTTGTTTTTTCAAGATTGTGATCTTTTATAATAAAGTTGAGACTAATGCACGTACGTGCATGCATATATATGTGTCTTATGAATTTTAAAATTATAAAAAAAATATTTTTTGAGTTTTAAAAGAATTGAAAAAATATAACCAAACAAACTCTTCCTTGGTAATTAAAGTTAGTTGCATAGAATTAAATATAATTTTTCTTTTTTTCTTTTTTTACAAGTTATCTTCATTTTTTTTAAAGTAAAATTAATTTTAAATATTTGCATTACTTCATTCTCATATTTCTTCAATCATGCTATGTAATTTACAAGATAAACATTGTATATAAAGCTTTAAGTAGCTTTAAGTAGACTATAAAAGATAAGAGTATGAGAATTGCACACCTTACTTGTACCATGCATTACCAAGGAGTAGTTTCTATGAATTTAAATGTGGTATTTTAAATTGAGATTTATTATGAATTTAACAAATAAAAAGTTAGATCTATAATTTAATTTATTATAACTTGATAATCTTATTGTTATAATTTGAGTTTTTATCTAGAAAGAATCTTAACAATAAAATCTATAATTAAGCAATGTTTGTTTAAGATGTTGTGCCTGTGTTTTATTTAAAACGCTGATGTAACTTGTTTGGTAAATAAAAAAACACAATTTATTATTTATGGGTCTCACTCTTCTTGCGTATTGTTTATGCTAATTACACTGTTCACTAAACAGTGCAATTAGCATGAACGGTATAACATGCTACAAGGTTACACAGTTCTAGTTGGACTAGTTCCTGCCAAACTGGCTCCGGTTCAAAGTTCAATATATATTAAATTAGGTTCGATTCAGTAAAATAAAAAATATTTATTATTTTTTAATTATATTTTATTTAAAAAATTAATGTTTAATATTATTCAATGACACTACATAAATTAGATAGAGATCACTTGATGACGTAGCATTTACAGAATTTAATCATAATTTCAATTTTATTCCTAATTATATTTTACCTAATGTTGATGTGCGCTTAAGAAATAAAAAAAATTATAGTCCTTGTCAGATATAATTCATACGTGATGAAATTGTAGATAGTTTAATAAACAATGAAAAATATTTTATATAAATTATTATTTATTTCATGATGTAATAACAATAATTAAATCTACAATATTTAAATTAAAAATTATTAATATTAATATATATATTTTTAAAATTATTTTATAACCTCAATTTAAAAGGTATTAATAACCAAATACATTAAACTACTTTTTGTTCAACTTCAATTTCAACCACAGTTTTAATTAAACATACATAAATATCAAATTAATCTCAATCAAAAATATTTTTTTTTTAAAATCACAACCACAACAACTACCATAAAATATCAAATTAATCTCAATCAAAAATAATTTTTTTTTCAAATCACAATCACAACAACTACCACAATACAAAATACACATTTAATTGTTCATTTAAACAATTAAAAAAATTAATATTATTTATCAATAAATAAATTTAACCTTGTAACCTCCCTCCACATTAAGATCATTACAATTTCAAAGAACAATTCGATTAAAAAACAAAAAACTTAAATGCATTCCCTCGCATGTGTGTGTTATGCCAAGATAAAGATTTTAAATTTGATCATAGATTCAAAAAGGAAAAAAAGAAAAGAAATACTTACATAAAAAACCGATCCTTTTCTAGGTTTGAATCCATCAGCACGATGAACATGAAAAAAACTTGAGAGCAAGAAATTGATGTTATAAGCCTCCTTCTATTATCTCTAGATTTTTCCCTACTTCTTTCTTTCAAGTTTAAAAGGTAAATTACGCACTACCTAGTGGTCATTGTGATGTTATAAAAGAAGTAAAATCTGCTAGCTATGGTAAATTTTTAAGTTTCAAAGAATCTTTATTCTAATGACAGTATGCATGACGTTTACGTGGCAATGTCTTATAAATGACATTTACTGATAATTGCTTGCCAATATGACTGATACGTGAAAGAAATCACATTTATTTTCTAACTTGATAACTTGTTATTAGTGGGTTATTTATTTTTATATTTAAAAAAAATTAAAAAAATTAATTTTTTAATTTATTTAAATAATTTTGATATGTTAATATTAAAAATAATTTTTAAAAAATAAAAAAAATACTATTTTAATATATTTTTAAATAAAAAATATTTTAAAAAACAATCTCAGCCATTAAATTAATATTACCTTTATCTTTGTCAAAAGAATCCATGTATATCCATTTTCACTCTCACACCTTGGAAAATGAAAGAAAAATAATGAGTTTTTTCACTAATTAATATGAGCCTACGAGTGTTAAAGAATGATGCATATATACGCTCCGGAGCCATTCCATCATGATATTTTAGGCTAATTCCTTCACCATTTGCTTTCATAGATGAAAACAAGAAACAAAATATCTCATCACGTGTCCTTGGATTGAAATAAATATTGAATTATCTTTCAACCAACGACAAAAAAAATCCATGTTCAAACAAATTCCATAAGCCAATTCACCTATAATTGGCCAAGCTTCTATTGCACAACGTGTAACTATTGATAAGTCAAATAATTCATGGAACATTTATACTATTTATTCTTCGTGTCTTCCTATCAATCAACAAAAAAAAAAAGAAAAAAACACAACTATTAGGATAATAAATCAAACAAGATGTTAGCAACCTCTTGATTTTAACATATTTGAAGGAAGAATACACGAAGGTCTTTTTGTATTGTTACATAAATGAAATCCAATGAGAATTATAATTTCTAATGAAAATCTAGGTGAATTAGAAAATTTAAAAATTAATCTTCAATAAACCTAATATTGCTAAAACCATTAACAATATTCAAGATTAATTTATCTTTTCAATTTCAACAATAACAACAATACATAATTAATTAATACATAGTAAATTGAGATAAAAATAGAGAGAGACACAATAATTTTTATAGTGGTTCAAAAAACTGCCCATTTCACTTCTTATATTTTTGTTCAAATATTTAC